ATTTAGTGATAGTAGCCATCTTCGATGGCACCAAAGAACCCACACAGGGGATAAACATTTTGCATGCTCAGACCCAGGGCCCAGCTGAGTGAAAGAAAGCTACACACCCCGGTTTGCTTCCAAGCGGACCCAGCTCCATTCTCGCCACCCTAACAAGGGAAAAGGACTTCCCAAAGGAAATGGAAAGGTGAGGCACCTGAAGACTCATGAAATATAGTTATATAAGACTCATGAGATATAGTTAAACAAGTAGGGAAGTGTGAGAAAATATATTCAATTTTTATTGTAGCTTTATGCCTTATACAAAATGTGAATTGTTTGTATTAGAGTGTTGTGTGTTTGTTCATATTGGTATTGTAATATAGAGACCTATACCTAGTATATACTTTATTCAATACAATATTTGCACATAATCTTTGAAAAATCTTTTCTTGGAGTAGTTGTTATTTTGTACACGGTATTGTCATTTTTCTGTAAAATTGTGTGACCGTGATCCCAGTCTGTTCATTGCCGGGGCTTTGAGGGGGGATGAATAGCAGGCATCTTTTTTTGGAGGGGGGAGGGATTTGGGGCTTCTTATTGGATCTTGGTTTTTGTTGAGGGGGTTTTACACTAAACACCGAGAGCCTTTGGAAATCTGCACATTCTGACACCCTTCTTCAGCTTCTCTGTGAAGCGGGTAGCCCGTGGACTGTGCTTTGTTGAAAACAGCAATCGGTAGCTGTTGGAGTCGGCGTCTTGGGGTTCCTCTTTTCAGTGGCAGACAGCCGGGTGTGCAGGGATTGTTCACACACCATTTGCCATCTCAGAAGCCAAAACGATCCTTGATGATTGGAGATTGTGCGTGGACTTCAGTTTAGAGAAGAGGAAGAGATTGGATTTATACCCCGCCCTTCACTACCCAAAGGAGACTCAGAGCGGCTTACAAACTCCTTTCACTTCCCCTCCCCACAACTAACACCCTGTGAGGTAGGTGGGGCTGAGGGAGCTCTTGGCAGAAACTGCTCTTTTTTAAGAACTGCTCTTATCGGAACTGCGGCTTGTCCAAGGTCATTCAGCCAGGTGCAAGTGGAGGAGTGGGGAATCAAACCCGGTTCTCCCGGATTAGAGTCCGCGCACTTAACCACTACACCAAACTGGCTACAAAGGGGGTAGATTCTAGAGGGAGGCAGACAGCTTTCTTCCAAATGAGTGCCTAAGGGAGACTGCTTTTATTTTCCTCTTCATGCTTGTTCTCTCTTTCCTGCCATTTTTAAATAGAATATTAAGAGACCACATTGCTTCAATTTCTCTTTATTCTTCGGTATGGAGAATTCTAGCCAGAACTCTCCCTTTTTTTGGAAGGGTGGGGTGGAAAAAAGATTGGCTAGCTAACTGAGAGCCAGTTGGGTGTAGTGGTTAAGTGCGTGGACTCTCATCTGGGAGAACCGGGTTTGATTCCCCACTCCTCCACTTGCACCTGCTGGATGACCTTGGGCAAGCCATAGTTCTGTCACAGCTGTCATTGAAAAAGAGCAGTTCCTGTCAGAGCTCTCTCAGCCCCACCTACCTCACAGGGGTGTCTGTTGTGGGGAGGGGGAGGGAAAGGAGTTTGTGAGCCGCTCTGAGAATCCCTTGGGTAGTGAAGGGCGGGGTTATACATCCAATCTCCTCCTCCTAACTGGACAGCTACCAGTGCATGGCTGCCTTGAGTCATGAGCACTCAGATATCCCCCCCAAAGGAGCATGTCTGTGACACCTATGAATCAATGTCTCCCCCCCCCCCATGTAGGCACAAGGAACTCTGGGACTGGTAGTTCTTCAGAAGCACAGCATTCCATAGTCCCTCCCCCAAAGAACAGAATCCACATAATACTTTTTCTTAGGACCAAACAAATAGACACAAAACGTTGTTCAACCTTTCGAGGTTACCAAAACGTTCCATCTGGCTGGATGTGACAAAAGTTGAAAAGACGGAGGGAGGGTAAGGAGGTTTGCCAGGGCCTGATGGTGGAGCCTGAGGTTGTTTAACTATCATTCAGAGACCACTTGAAGCAAGAAAAAATGCAGAATATTATGTTTAAAAAATAGACACCGAGAGCCTTTGGAAATCGGCACATTCTGACACCCTTCTTCAGCTTCTCTGTGAAGTGGCTAGCCCGTGGACTGTACTTTGTTGAAAACAGCAATCGGTGGCTGTTGGAGTCGGCGTCTTGGGGTCAGCTATCGGTGCCTCTTTTCAGTGGCGGACAGCCTGGCTTTGCCGGGATTGTTCACGCACCATTTGCCATCTCAGAAGCCAAAACGATCCTTGCTGATTGGAGATTGTGCGTGGACTTCAGTTTAGAGAAGAGGAAGAGACTGGATTCATACCCTGCCCTTCACTACCTGAAGGTGTCTCAGAGTGGCTTACAAACTCCCTTCCCTTCCTTTCCCCACAACAGACACCCTGTGAGGTAGGTGGGGCTGAGAGAGCTCTGACAGGAACAGCTCTTTTTCAAGAACAGCTCTTATCAGAACTACGGCTTGCCCAAGGTCATCCAGCCAGGTGCAAGTGGAGGAGTGGGGAATCAAACCCGGTTCTCCTGGATTAGAGTCCGCGCACTTAACCACTACATCAAACTGGCTACAAAGACGGGGTCAATTCTGGAGGGAGGCAGGGAGCTTCTCTCCAAATGAGTGCCTAAGAGAGACGGCTTTTATTTTCCTCTTCATGCTTGTTTTCTCTCTCTCCTGCCATTTTTAAATAGAATATTAAGAGACCACATTGCTTCAGTTTCTCTCTATTCTTCGGTATGGAGAATTAACTTTGGCCAGAATCCACATAATACTTTTTCTTAGGACCAAACAAATTGACACAAAACATTGTTCAACCTTTCGAGGTCACCAAAACGTTCCATCTGGCTGGATGTGACAAAATTGAAAAGATGGAGGGAGGGTAAGGAGGTTTGCCAAGGCCTGATGGTGAAGCCTGAGCCTACAAGCGTCCTTCAGTCAGGTGGCTCCGCGCTCCTTGGCTTCTTCGCCCTCAGAGGATAAACGGAAGAAGCCTGCTGCTTCCCCAAGCAACTGTTAGGCACCCCCTCCTCTGCCCAGGAATAGAGCAGCCCACAAAGTTATATTCGGGGTATCAGCAGACCCGCAGCCAGGATTTTGTGGTTTCTAGGGCAATTTTTTCCCCTTCTGGGGCTGAAGTTCTCAGTATATATATAAAAAAGCCATTTAGCCAAGAGAAAGCTGTTACCAGGATAGATCTCTACATTGCAAGCTGTCAACCACTTTAGATGAGAGTTCTCAGTTGCTGCAAGTTAATCGCTTCTGCCAGCCAAAGCAACCATTCTGATAACAAGCCGGCGGGGGTCGGGGGTGATGATTTCTATAGCCAAGAAAGTTAAGATTTAGACAGAAAAAGTCTCTTGAAGGAGACCAGTCTCTTGACACAGAGTTAGAAGGGATCCTAGAGGTCACCTTCTCCAGCCCCCACTCTGCTGCACGGAGCACACACCTTTAAAAAATGTTTTAAAATTATTGGAAAAAGCATCTACCATATAAGCTTTTGTGTGCATGCGCACTTCTGCCAGTATCTAGAAAAGTGTGCATGTGCACAAAAGCATATATCTAGAATTAAACTTTGTTGATCTTCAAGGTACCCCTGGGCTCAAACATTTTATGGGATGTACTAAAAAGAATAACAGGAGGGGCAATCTTGTAATTCCATTTAGTACATCCCGGAGGAGGGAACGGCACCTCTGCTGCTGCTCTGTACTCATTCCCCACCCCCCCCATTACTTCTCCTGCGGAAGTGAGCAGGGACTCACGAAAGTCAGCCCCTGGCACAAATTTTGTTAGTCTTTAAGGGGCTCCTGGACTCTGGCTCTTTTCTACAGTCAAATAAGCATCGCAATAGACTGCAATCCTAACACTTCTAAAAATGACCTGCTGAGCTAATTTACAGTTCTGATCCCTTTCTAAAAATGCCCTTCTGAATGTTTCTGTTTTATTTCACACCTTGCAGAATGACCAATGTGTGTGTGTGTGTGTGGGGGGGCTTCCTGACCTGAAGCAGGCTGTCCCAGAAGGTGGGATCATTACAAAATAATATTTACAAGGTTTTCAGCCAATCTTAGCTCATTATAGTAATTTACAATATATTACCAAGTTAACCTTGAACTAAATTATAATTATAATTAACCTCCGTCCTCGGAGGCCTTGGGTCAGGAGGGTAAAGACCCTCCTTCCAGGGACCAATTGGTCTTGGGGGGAACATACCCAGACATTTGCCACATCCCACCACTCTTTAGCATAAAACAACATCCTATATACTAATAGCGAACTTGCCCCCGGAGTGCGGATCGCTAAATCAGCGCTCCGGGGGCAGCTGGGGGGCCGGGGGAGGTTTGTGTACTCTTGGGGCAGTCCCCAGGGGTGCACAAAAATGTAAAAACTAAAAAAAATATATCGGGGGATGTTTAAATCCCCCCGAAAATGAAAGAGCGTTCTGTGTGCCTGCGCACAGAACGCTCTGTAGCCGACCTCGCCGCCGCCGCCTCGGAGGTGGCCGGGGGGGCAGGCAGGTGGGCAGGCAGGCGGCCTTGCCGCCGCTGCCTCGGAGCCAGCGGGGGGCGGAAGGGAGGTCCGGCTTCGCCGCCGCCTCCACCATGGAGCCGGCCGTGGGTGGGAAGACCGGCCTCGCCACTGCCCCTGGCGCCTCCGCCTCTTGGAGATCGAGCGGGGGGGGGATGGAGGCGGGCAGGCTGGC